AGCCGCCCCCTCCTTACTGTAAATCTCTGGAAAGCCAGCTTTGGGAGGGAAGCCCACCTGTCCAAAGGGGTGGGGCTTGGGGGGATAGCCTGCACCCTCTAACCGTGAGCTTTGGAAGTGGATGGGCCTCTCGTCAGGACAGTAGGGCTCACAGGGTCTGGGATCGGGGGTCTGCCTCTTGGCAGTCGGGGCTCCTCCCTGCGGGCCCACGTCCCTGCACCTGTCAAATGGGAATAAAAACTGCTCCACCTCCTCACTACGTGCAGTGACGCAAGGTGCCCCACGCGGTTCAGGTTCTCTGCAGGGTTGGCTGGGCCCCACCCTGCCCCACCTGGGGGGTACCTAGTTCGGGGCCTGTGATGGTGAGGTGGGACGGGAACCTGGGTGGGCTCCGCCTTCATGTGCCTCAGCTCCGCGGGCAGCTGGCGCCCTGTCAGCCGGGTGACTGCACGCTCGGCAGTCTGGTCTGTTTGTTTTGGTGACGGTTTTTGTTGAGATGTAATTCATACACCGTATGATTCACCCGTTTATAGTGCGCAGTTCAGTGGCTCCTCGCACAGCCACAGAGCCGGGCAGCATCACCACAATGGGTGTTTGGGTGGAGGCATAACTGACAAGGGAAATGGTATGTAATTGATTTGAGAACTTTGGGGGGACTTCTGGTGAGCATCCTGTTCCCGAAAGGAAACCCCGTGCCTATTAGCAGTCATCTCCCGGCTCCTGATGGAGTCACACGGCGCGTGGTCCCTGGTGACTGCTTCGCCCACTCCGCTTGGGTGGCCTTTTGGCCTCTCTGGGCCCCTTACTGCCACTCGAAAGTCTCCGATGTAGAAACAGGTGGTGTTCTTCCCACGTCGAGGTCCTTGCTTCTTGTGGCCCAGGTGACGGCTGCCCAGCTCAGGTTCTGCCAGGCTCTGCCTCGCGGGGGAGGTGTGGTGCGGTTCTGTCATGCAGTCAGGGCGCGTGCAGTGCCTGTGGATCGTCCCTGTGACCGCGATGTGCCAGGCAGTTTGGGACACGTGTCCCGGAGGTGGTGGGCAGGGGCCCTTGGTGCTTAGAATTCGGGGACTGGAGAGGCCATCATGGGGCTTTGGGCCAGGAACCAACGTGAGACACTCAGATATGTGGCTCAAAAAAGTGGCCTGAATGGGGGTGGGATGAAGGCTGGACCGAGTCTGACTCTGTGGTAGGATAGGACCCTGTGAGGTGCTGTCCCCTCCTGGCTGGCCCTGCACTCGGGCCACACCTCCAGGCGTGCCGGCCGGGGCGTAGGAGCAGACACGAGACCCTCAGGATTGTTGTGGATTTAGAGCCACTTGTTCCTGGGCACGGCCAGGAGGTGCCCTGGACGGCCGAGGGGACTGAGGCTCCGTGGAGGCCAGAGAGGAGAGCCAGGGCAGCGGTGTCTTGAATGGACGGAGACTTGGACAGCTGGTCACCTGCCCCCACTGGCTCCGCCTGGCTCAGTCCGGCTGCTTCCCCAGTCAGCGTCGTTCTCCTCGGGCTGTTGCTCTGTCCGTGGCTGGCGTGCCGTCCATGCCGGGCGGTGTGGGGCAGAGAGGACTCGGGCCTCGGAGAAGAGGGCCTGGCCGGCGGGTCTGGAGGTGCCCAGGAGGGGCTCGTCCTCTAGGTCCGTCCGTGGTGGCCTCTGCCTCGGGGGTCTTCACAGGGCAGGTGATGAGCGTGAGCTGGTCAGGGCCTGTACTGGGCTGCAGAGCCCCCAGCTTCCCTGGGCCTGAGTTGCCCATGGGTGATGGGGTGATGCATCCCTCAGACAGGGCCGTGGGGACAGCAGCCCGGGGCCTGGCTGCAAGCTCAGGGGGGTTTGCAGCTGGTGGTCTGGACTGTGAGGGGCCTGTAGGGGACACTGAGTTCATGCGCACAGGGGCTTAGGTCCACCCGGCGCCTGGTGAGCGCTCCGCAGGAGGTGCTCCTGAGGCCACAGCCAGGCCTGAGGGTCAAAGCCAGGGCGCCCTCCTCCGGGGGTGAGAGCCGGCCTGTCCTCCCTGCTGAGCTGGGGACCCTATCTGTCATGCATCCTTTGGGACCATCAGTGGCTGTACTGGGAACACCCCCCCCCCCCATTTCCCTCTTCCCTGTCCTGGGCTGTGGGTGGGGAGGGGGTTGGGTGTATTTGTGTGTGTGTGTGTGGCAGCCAGGCAACGGCACAGACTTCCCTCTGCCTGCCACCGCCCCACGCCCTGCACCACGTGGCGATTCGCTGGGCTGGATGGTAGCTGCGTGCTGGCCGTCATGGGCACTTGAATTTGTTCAGCAAATAGATTGAAGCGAGTTTGATGGCCGGGGTTCCAGGATGAGCACAGCTCTGGCCCCGCCTGGGGGCCCCTGCCCAGCTGTGGGGACAGTGGACACTGGCCCTGGTGGGGCAGGACCTTGGTTGCTTCCTGCACAGGACTCTCCCTCGCGGGCCCTGGGCACGGTGCACACTCGGGCTTTTCTGGGCCTGGGGGCTGAGGGTTGAGCAGGACAGTTGGCCCCAGGGGTCTGGACCGGAGGCAGCTAGGGGAGACACGGGGCCGGTGCTTGCTGAGTTGGCCGGCGGGCTCAGCGGTGACAGCCCCTACCCGCAGGGCGCCATGTTTTGGAAGTTTGACCTGCACACGAGCTCGCACCTGGACACGCTGCTGGAGCGGGAGGACCTGAGCCTGCCCGAGCTGCTGGACGAGGAGGACGTGCTGCAGGAGTGCAAGGTCGTCAACCGCAAGCTGCTGGACTTCCTGCTGCAGCCGCCGCACCTGCAGGCCATGGTGGCCTGGGTCACCCAGGAGCCGCCGGCCAGCGGCGAGGAGCGGCTGCGCTACAAGTGAGCCTGCGCAGTCTGTCCCAGGGGCTCCTGGTGGGGACGAGGAGGCCGAGGCGGGAGGCCAGGCACTGGGGTGCAGACCTACAGCCTGGGCGCCAGAGCGCTCACGGCAGGGCTCCGTGGAAGCGCCTTTATTGTGGGGAGCAGCGGCTGGCCAGTCTGGTTTCAGTGGCCCCGTCCCCACCCCCACCCCAGATTCTTTCTCCTTGCGTTTTCTTCCATTGGGTTTTTGAGATGAGTGTAGCATCGCGTGCAGTTGTGAGGAGGAATACAGAGCTCCCTGTGCCTGCTTCCCCGTGGTGACACTGCATGATACAGCCCAGCGTCACAGCTTCTGGTGTGTCTTAGAGCAAGTCCTCTAACTCCAGACAGAACCTTTTTACCTGTAGTTCTCTTGTAACTTTCCCTTGTTTGGAGCATGAGTTGGATGAGATGTGCCTGTGCCCAGCCCGGTGCCAGGAGCACAGGGCATGGCTGGGAGCAGAGTTGGCATGGACCCTAGGTGGCCGCTGCCCCCTCCTGCACACCCCTCTGCCCTTCTCTCCCACCCACCCCGTCACCCCATGGGTACTTAGGTCCCTGGGTGTGCTGGGGCCAGGCTGGCAGGGCCCTGTTGGCATGATGGGAATCGTCTCCATAACTAGGCACTTGCGTCTGCCCTGGTCCACCGCCCTTCTCGGGCCCGGCACAGCCCATACCTGACTCGGGCTCCCTTCGGTTCATCCTCCCTGTTCCCTGGTGCCACCCTCTGCCCAGCTCCCTCACCCCAGGGTGGTATGCGGTCCTCATCTCTGCGGCTTCTGTGCCTGAGGCCTGAGCCAGATGGTGCGTGGGTGAGGGCTGCCGTGCCCTTTGTAAAGTGGGAGTTGGTGAGGGTGCGGGGATCTCTGGTAGGGTCGGCAGAACCCTCTGATGTCCATCTGTCTGTCATATACCTGCTCCCACATGTCTTTTCCCTCCTTTGCTCTGACCTCGGTCCATCATCCCCCTCCCAGCATCCCCCCTCCTTTGAGTGTGTCCAGTGGCCCCAAGGACTGGGTCTTGCTCACAGAAGCCAGGAACACAGGGAGCCTCCATTTCACCACCTGTGCCCTCCTGGCCCTGGGTCCCTGCCCTGCTCCCAGGAACCCAGGGGAGGAGGCACCCAAGGCGCCTACAGCTCACAGGGCATCTCAGTAGGTTGTGGTCCCCCCGGACCAGGGCGGCCTACTGGGCAGGGCGGCCCTCGAGCCAGTATGTGGAGAAGGGGAGCGGGTGAGGGTGGTTTTAGATCACTGGACAGACTGTGAAGGGGAGGCTCTGGTGGTGACCAGCAGGCGATGTCAGGAGGGGACAGGCTTGCTCATTGGGGTCGGGAGGGTGGACATGCTGTGGGGTTCCGACAGGGAGGTGAGAATGGCGCCGCTGGCTCTCCCCCTTATCTGTTTCCCTCTCTGGATGTGACAGCCCCCTGCCCGCCCCCCAGGTACCCCAGTGTGGCCTGCGAGATCCTGACCTCGGATGTGCCCCAAATCAATGACGCCCTGGGCGCCGACGAGTCCCTGCTGAACCGGCTCTACGGCTTCCTGCAGAGCAGCGGCTGCCTCAACCCGCTGCTGGCCAGCTTCTTCAGCAAGGTCATGGGCATCCTCATCAACCGCAAGACGGACCAGGTACCCGCCGTCCGGGGTGCCCCTGCGGGTCGGGGGGCGCCTCCCGGTCCCGCCGTCTGACATGGCCGTGCCCGCAGCTCGTGTCCTTCCTGCGGAAGAAGGACGACTTCGTGGATCTGCTGCTGCAGCACATCGGCACCTCGGCCATCATGGACCTGCTGCTGCGGCTCCTCACCTGCGTGGAGCGGCCCCAGCTGAGGCAGGAAGTGGTCAACGTGAGCTCCAGGGAGGGCCGGGCTGGCCGGGAGGGGCGGGGCCTGGCGGTGGGCCAGTGAGCGGAGCCCCATCTTTTTCTCACCCCAAGTGGCTCAACGAGGAGAAGATTGTCCAGCGGCTCATCGAGCAGATCCACCCATCAAAGGATGACAATGTGAGTGTCTCAGGCACACCAGGCCCCTCCCTCCAGAGGGGGGTTGAGGAGAAGAGGCGCTGGGAACCGTGTGCCCATCTCCCCGCTCCCTGACGTAGTGGCAGAACAGAAAGGGGTTGACCCACATGGATGTTTCTGAGCCAGGAAGTTGGCCCCTCCTCCCTTGAGCGAGCAGGCCTGGTGAGGGTCCTCTGAGTCCGGGCTCTGTCCCTGCCTCCTCGCTGCTGCCCTCCCCTCCCCGGGGCCACCCACCCTCCTCCCCTCCCGCTGGCTCTGCCTGGAGAGCCCTGCTTGTTCCTCAGAGAACCCACCTGGCCCTCGGCTCTTCCCCGGCCCACAGGTGCAGGTAGCCAGCCCCCAGGGCCAGCCCGTACCCATCCCAGGAGGGTGGCGGCTGTCCAGGCCTCTGTGGCAGAGGGACCAGGGTGCCCACTGTGAGCCTGCCCGGGTCCAGGGCTGCCTGTGGGTCCCGGGTCTGTGTGTCCTGGGTCTGCCTACAGCCCATTGGGTTAGGCTCCGCGTTCTGCTCATGTTCTTCTCTTGCTTGGCTCTGTTGAGACTGAGTTATGCACTACGCCCACCCACTCCTCACGTGGGACTCAGTGCTCCCGTGTCCTCACAGAGGGGCAGCTGTCACCGAGTTGGTTTGCGTCGCTCCAAAAGGCAACCCTGTGCCCATTAGGTGTCTCGCCGCTTCCCCTGTGGTTCCCAGCCCCTGGCAGCCACCAGTCTGCATCCTGTCTCTGGGTTTGCCTCTTCTGGGTGTTTCATATACATGGAGTCGCACATGTGGTCCACGGCTGACCTCTGCCTGAGCGCCGTGTCCTGTGCATCCGTGTTGTAGCGTGTTGGTGCTTCATCCCTTGCTGAGGCTGAGGAACGCTCTGCTCATGGAAAGAGCACGGTTGCTTACCCTTCAGTAGTGGGTGGATGCCCCCTCTTTGGCCACTGACTGGTGAGGGTTTCTGTGGGACGTCTCCTTTTCCAGGAAGCCTTCCTTGGTTTCCCCTTTTCTCTGCCGTCTCTCCCCTCCAGTGTTTGGTGCCTGGAGCTTCCTCCCTAGGTACTTGTGTCCCTGTGCCTGTGCCATTCTCCTCCCTGTTCCTAAGGGCCGGGGCCAGATGGTCAACTCATGGGGGGGGTCCAGACACCGGGCCGTGGGGGGCTCGGCAGCCAGGCTGGGGTCCTCAGCTCTCTCTCTCCGCCTCCCCAGCAACATTCCAACGCGTCCCAGTCCCTATGCGACATCATCCGCCTGAGTCGGGAGCAGGTGATCCAAGTCCAGGACAGCTCGGAGCCCGACCAGCTGTTGGCCACCCTGGAGAAGTGGGTTTGTGGGCAGCGCCCTGGCCCAGGGAGGGACGCCGGCCTGGGAACCTGGGTTCCAGCCCTTGACCCTGACCCCTCTGCCCCAGGCAGGAGACGATCGAGCAGCTCCTGAGCAACATGCTGGAGGGGCAGCTGAACCCGTCCGTGCTTGTCAGCGGGGTCCAGGTGCTGCTGACGCTGCTGGAGCCCAGGCGGCCACGGTGAGGGTGCCTCCCCGCTCTGCGGCTCCCGGAGGGCACGGCCTTTCAGGGGTCACTGTGGTCCTAGAGAGTCCTGTTCCCGCCTGACAGCCGAGGAAACAGGCTGAGTCAACTGCCCACAGCTTCCAGCTGGCGTCCCCACCCAGGGCACCTCGGGCGTCACTGTCCAACACGCAGTGGGGCTTCTACCCTAGGGCCCCCAGGCCCCTGGGTGCCTCCCGCAGGCCCGCCCTCACGTCCTGGCCGCCTCCTGGCCGGGAGCAGCCTCAAGCTCCTCTCTAGGCGTGTTCTGCACACGCATGTGCATGCCCACTGGCTGTCTGGGCCGCTCACTGCCCTCGCCCTGCCCTGCTGCAGGTCCGAGTCTGTGATCGTGAACAACTTCTTCAGCAGCGTGGACGGGCAGCTGGAGCTGCTGGGCCAGGCGACCCTGGACAGCTCCGTGTCCAGCATGGGCGCCCTGCACGCCCTGCGCCCTCGGCTCACCCACTTCCACCAGCTCCTGTTCGAGCCACTGGAGGTGGGCTGGGCAGGCCTGGAGGGTGGCAGGGAAGGTTGCTCCTTGGCCCTGGGCAGCAGGGGGCCAGGAATTAAGCCTCCTCTATGTCTGCAGCTGGAGCCACTGCATACGACGTGGGGCATCCTGGCCCCGCCTCTGGGCAACACACGGCTGCACGTGGTCAAGCTGCTGGCCAGCGCCCTGAGCGCCAACGACGCAGCCCTGACCCAGGAGCTCCTGGCACTGGACGTGCCCAACACCATGCTGGTGCGGGGGCAGGGCAGTGGGCACGGGGTGGGTCGGGTGGGGCCTCTGTCTCTCCATGCCAGCCTGCACCTCCCCCCCAGGACCTCTTCTTCCACTACGTGTTCAACAACTTCCTGCACACGCAAGTGGAGGTGTGTGTGAGCACCATGCTGAGCGCCGGGCCCCCTGCCGACAGCAGCCTCGAGACACCCGCCCCCAACCTCGGCGTGAAACACGTGAGCTGGGGCTTGCGGGTCCCCTCCCCCTCCACAGGCTGGGCTCTGCCCGTGTCTGTCCCTCGTGTCTGTCCCTCGCCTGCCTCCTTCCTCCCTTTGGTGTGACTTCGCATCCTGGGGGTGGGGCCTCGGACTTGTCTTTAGGTCAGGTCTGGGGAAAAGTGGGTGACGCGGGGAGGTGAGTGGACGCGGTGAGCTCAGGAGGTGGGGTGTCCTGGGAAGGACTCCCCGGGGTGACGGCTGCCCAGCCATGGGTGTAGCCCAGCCCCAGGGAGGAGCAGTTCAGCGGGAGCTGGGATTTGTCTAGATCAGCGGTTCTCAACCTGTGGGTCGCGACCCCTCTGGCGATCGAAGGACCCTTTCACAGGGGTCGCCTAAGACCATCCTGCATATCAGATATTTACATGACGATTCATAACAGCAGCAACATGACAGTTATGAAGTAGCAACGAAAATAATTTTATGGTTGGGTCACAACATGAGGA